AATTTAAATCATTTTGCTAGGTAGGCTCATAGTTTAAAGCCAAATGCAGAGTCCCCATATTTTGAAAAGATAAGTAAAACCTTTCTGGTTAGAAGCTCTCAAAATGCGTTTATGAAGAGTTAGATTGAAGCTAATACACCATCGTGGTGCTCTTAAATCATCTGAGAATTGTGCACAGTCCTTTCGTATGCCTGCTGTTCCAGGGACGTCACTGCTACAGGAAAGCGAGATGTTTGATTTGTTCCTTGAAGCCAACTATGTGATTCAGGATGAACTAAGCTATTGCGCTGAAAAACAAAACAAAACAAAACAAAACAAAACAAAACAAAACGAAACAAAACAAAAAAACAATAATGGAGCTTACTGTATTTATAAATGTATTTGTAATTTTCTCACATGACATTTGAAGGTGTGTGTTGGGAGTCAAGTAGCTACATTCTAAGAATTCGCAACCCAGACTGAGCAAAGCAAGACACTGCCATCTTCAGCATTTTTTTAGAGAGATTTTTCTTCTATAAGGCATGTGTCCTTGCCAGAGAGACAGAGAGAAGCAGAGAGACAGAAAGTGAGAAACCACCCCCAGGACGATGGTCACACCACAATATCCCTTCTCCTCCATTGGACTTTGGGCATATATGCACACGTGCTCAGTGTAAGTTTTAAACTACGGGGTCTAGGACTCAAGCTGCAGAGACTAAGTGGGAGTCCAGCGACGTAACCATTATGCCATCTGCTGGTCCTGCCATCTTCAACTTTTAAAACCACTCTGGCCATAACCATTCCAACTAGCAGCAACGACAGAAAGGGCTTCCAGTTAAATGAATCAGGTGTAAGGGCCAAACATCTTTTTCACTAATGTTTCTTGGGAAGAACTCTGCCATACAACCACACTTAGGGGAGGCTAGAAAGTGTATCCCAGAAGAAAGAACAAAGGGCGAACAATTTTGGTGGATGACTGGAACCTCATCAAACCAACTACCCGTTGCAGTTGTCAATGTACTGGTCTCTGTACTATGTCACATGATGTGAGTTTTCATTTTATCTTTTGTTTGTGGTGTTATTGTTTAGAGAACACCCAATACTACATCATACTTGGCTTTGTTACTAACAGAGTTTTGCATGGTTCTCCAGTGGAGACTGTCTTAAGCAACAAGCTTTATTATTTCAAAGAGAAAATTTAAAATCCTACCTTCAATTTCCTAAAAATTATGTAATGAGTGAGCATTTTGAAGTAAATGAATTGAGACTGCTTTTGAGCAGTATGCAATTTCTATGTTTTTCCCTTCCCCTGACACTTGTGCAGGATAGGATGTAAGGACAATCTAAGACAACCTCTGCTATGAGGGTCTAACTTACCAATGTTACTTATCAGAATTGCAGTAATTTGATTAAAGACTCTCCAAATCACCATTTTCATGTTAATGGTTAGCATGCCATTTTAATAATAAAAATGTAAAATAAAAGGTATTAAATCTATTTTGCTAATAACTTATTATTTTGTTACTAATAAAATAAAATGGATTTAACTTTCCTAGTTGTTATAAGATTTATGGAGGTTTTGTTGGAAAGCAAAACAAAAAAATCATGACTCAAATTTTTATTATTTTATATAGCTACAAATTAATCTTTGAGATTAATTCTTATTGTCTGTTTTAATCTGAGTATACCTTGTGATTCCTAGTTAATATTTCTTTGTTCTTTAAAAGTATTTTAAAATAAACATCATTGAATTTAATTTTACTTAAAAGTCATAGGAGAAAAAGAAACTGATACAAAACTAAAGGTGTTAGTGAATTTAGAAATACGTTACTTTCTGATAGACAGTATTAAGACCCTCTAAAGTTTAAAAGAAATGTGAAATGCAGTAAGAGCTTGTTGGCCATTATAGTTTGGTTTGTGTTTTTATTTCAGTGATTATATGTTTTGACTCTCAAATGTCTGGATTTCACATTTTGGCCTAATTTTCCTTTCCCTGTCCTACGCTTCAGTGGTGCTCATTAACCTTCCTTTCTTCCTCCCCTTTCCAAACAATCCAGTCCCTAAACTTTCAGGTGGAGCAAAGCAAGAGAGGCATCCTTGGTGTTCTGATGTAAGTAGTTGGAAGTGTTGAGACATGTGTCTCCATGGAGAAACTATCCAGAGTGAGGGATCAGGGTCCAAGCAGAGTGAAGAGGGTGCCTCCACAAAGAGCAGTCTAGTGAAGGCAGTCAGAATTGATCAGGCTAAGAGGATAGCCACAAAGACAGGCCGACAAGCAGGGCTATCAGAGCCTGTGAGGGGTGAGGAGGTTTCATGCCTGACAAAAGGTGTCAGAGCTCAAGCCAGCTGAGGCGGGTGGCCCAGGCCAAGGAGTCAGTATCTGAGCAGTGTCAGGTCCATATTGAGGTGGGTGGCTAGCCTGGCAAGAGATGTCAGAGCCTGGACAGAATAAGAGGCTGTTCCCTCAGAGACTGGGGGCTGGCCAGAAACTGAGCAGAGAGAAGAGGTTCCCCATGTGGGAAAAGGGGTGGTGGCAGAGATTGGTAGAGATTGGCAACAAACTGAGGGGGATCTGTTCATTGCTCTTCTCTGCAAACTCTTGTACTTAGCCTGGAAATCACTTTCAAAATTCCAGGGTTCCTTTAGAAGGTAGTTGACTTTCTGAGAAAACATTAGGAGAGAGATAACACATCTCTGAACCATGAATTCCTTTGCTTCCTTTTGTCAATATCTTTTTTTTTTTAAGAGGGCTCATGTACTTGCCAGAGAGAGTGACAGAGATAGTGAGAAGAAATGTGAGAAATCACCCCCCAGGGGAGATGGCCACAACACAATCCCTTCTCCATTCTCCTTTCAGGATCTTAGATACACATGCACATGCACCCAGCCTGATTTTCAAGCCACTAAGTCCAGGACTTGAACCATGGTCAGCCATGTGGGAGTCCAACATCATAACTGCTACATCATCTGCTGGTCCCCCTTTTGTCAATATTTTTGCTTGTTTTCTAGTATTTAGAAAACTCCATTTTACTATAACTATATGATTGCTAATAGGCATGAATTTCCAGGTAGCAAAACAGTCAACCCATTTCATGCAAATCACAAGAGAGTCTTAGGGGCTAGACAGTGGTGCAGCAGTAAAATGTGGTGCTCCGCAAGGCTGACCCATGTGGGAAAGTTCCAGGCTCATGTCCGGCAACTTCCCTGAGTACACTGAGCACGTGTGTGCCCATGGTCAGGGCTGGCTGAAGCTAAAGGTGGATCACAACGTCAAGACCTTTTGGGGTGCTGTCTGTCTCTCCCTCTCTCTTGGTTGTGAAAGAAATTTTTAAAAATTAAAAAAATTTTTAAAAAGAAAGAAGAGAGTACTCTAATAAATAAATAATAAAGACTAAATTTTACAAAAAAGTCCAAAGCTTAAAACCAAAGTCTGCTTTTAGTATGAGCCTTTAAGAGAAAGACAAACCTGGAGACAAACTATCATATAAAATGACAACTCATTTCGGGAACCCAGTACATCATGGTGAAAAGATTATGGTTAATACCAGTAATGAATCTTAGGAGATCATTTATAAATTCTAAGTATCAGTCTGTCTGCTTTCTTTTCAATGATCTGAACTTAGAGACCTGACCTGTGGTCCGACAGCTTTAGGAGCTACCCACCAGTGGCTAAGCCTGCCCTTCCACACTCCTGCCTGACTTTGCTTCTGGATCCCATATGGGCCCTGCCATCTCCTTGGGTAGCTACAAAGCTTGGGGGAGGACTCAGTTTATGAAATGCCAAATGAGCCCACTGCCAAGAAGTGCTTGCTCACCCCTCCTTCAACGGCAGGGGAATCTCCCTTTCCTTTTATGGGTTGAAGCTGAAGAAAGGATTCATAAGTGAAGCCCAATCCTTCTCACCAACCCCAGCCCACACCTCCCAGCAATTGAACTCGAAAAAAAACCTGGTTTGAAAATTACCGCAAACTATATTGTCATCAAAAAAGCACTTCCTATATTTGAGATCAGAAAAAAAAAAAAAAAAAAAAAAGAGGGAGGCACACAT